ACCTCAGGATTACTAATGTGCAAAAAGAACGGAACCATATGTCCATTGTTTTGTGAGCTAAAAATGAAAGGAGTGAAAATAACAACCAGTGATCGTTCTAAAAACACTACAAAAAATTAAATCTACAGATCTGTGAAGAGGGTAGAAAACACGGACCCTTGGAAATTCCAGAGGTGGGATCAGGTGCGAAGGAGGAGTAAGCATTTCCAGTTTACCACTCACTGTTACCGTAAGCCCAATGATTTGAACAAGTAAAGGGATCATTCCTCGGTAAAATGCAGTTATAAAAATAAAAGCCTAACAATTGGTATGAGACGTATCAGCAAAAGTACGACCCGTATGAGTAAGAAGGAAGTCAGTCAGCATTTGGCTCAAAGAAAAGTTGTTACAGTACTAGTATCTGATGAAATTATATCGGCCAAAATACTGCTGATATCCTTCTTTAATCAACTTGTTAATAGCGTTGACACAGGTGTTGGAGCGTCTGCTCTAGAGTCGCGAAGGAGTTGATCCAAACGTCGGGGTTAAAATCCCACTTTGGGATGTGAAGACTAGTCCTTCGAATGAGGCCGCATAAACCGAGGCCTCGTCTCGCAGTAGGTGGTGGCATGAAAAAGATCCCTCCCTGCTCAAGTATATTCAAGTATATGCCCTGGGTGCCAAGTATATTTACTGCTCTCCACCGGCAAATGGTGGCGTCTCCATAGAGTGAAAAATTCTCGAGATGGACGTTAAACAATCGATCAATATCTTGCCAGCTTTTTAAAGATATTGTTCATACGCAAGGCTTGTTCTTATGTACGGAATAAAATAAGAATAAGAAAATTATTTAAACAGTTTGATAGACAAAAATAATCAGCTCTCTATATGTTTCACCGTTTTATGGATCGAAGGGCATAAAAAATCTGAACAAGATTTGAGAATAAAAAAATAATGTATAAATCTTCAATCATTCAATATTGTACATCAAAATCACTCTTTGAACAAACAGTGAAATGTACAGTAAAACTCGTTTAGTACGAACACGGATATAGCGAATTCACGGATATAGCGAAGTTTTTCTGGGTCCCTGGCAAAATTCTTAGCAAATCTTGGTAAAATTTTACGGTTATAACGAACTCTGATATAACGAATTTACGGATATAGCGAACTGATTTTGAGTCCCTTTGAGGTTAAATATAATGAAATTTACATCTTTTATAACGAACTTTCCAAGATTATTAAAAAAATGATATAATTGAACTTACTTTATTTCCTTTTAGCATTTGTATATAAAACTCAATTCATAAGAAAACCTTAGTTATCGATGATATGTTTTGTTATATTTGCTTCACTAACATAGTTGGTAGTGATGCTTGAAAGAAAACATGCATAGTGCGAATTCGCTACAATGGTTATACAAATTCGTTATACGGCTATAACGAATTACGGATATAGCGAATTAAATTCACAGGTCCCCAGGACTTTGCTATAACCGAGTTTTACTGTATATGTTTTGAGTTGAACTTACAAATTTAAATATTTTTAAAAGATTTTACATTTGATCATGTGCTCTAGTGTGAACCAATCAAATTGCTGATTACAAAGAAAAAAATATTCCATGTATAAATAATGTATTTAGTGATGCTTGATTAGCATCATTGTACTCTTCACATCTGCTCCGGTCATAACTATGGGATACTTAGATCTTCTCCAGCTCTGTGACAACCAGACGCCATTCACGAATGCGTGGTGACAAAAATTAAACCACCACCCTCCCCCGAATTCCTCAGCACAGCTTACTGCGCGTGGACTCAGGTCGTTGTCCCTGTCGGGGGTGCTGAAGGACATCCCAGACTGCACAGTGAAGGAATATTTGGTGGTCAATACCATGTCATTTGAATACGAAAACTAAGTATGACAACTTAATAATTGATCAGTTCAATAGTGATGTTAACAATACTGTTTTTACTTTGCGGACAACCCTCATAAGTTACCGATATGAAGTTTATGTACAATACAGTAGGATATAAGATATTAAGAATAAAAGTAAGCAAAAAAAGTACAAAATATTAAAATAGTTTTATAATTCCGTATTTTAAACCATCCTCTAAAATGTTGTGGCAAAGGTTCAAATTGTTGTGGAAAACAGACAAAAAGACGGACACACAGACGGACAAGACAAAGGTGTGCCCCCAAAATCTTTGATTACAGGGGCATACAGTAAGAAAATCTATGAGTCTATATTTTGTATACTGTATGTATGACTTGCACCACATTCTCAAACTAAATCAAATTTTAAAAACTAAGATTTATGGGCACTTCGCATGAAATCTTAAAAAGGTCTTGTCGCAGTAGGCGTTAGCACAAAAAATAACTTTTTGGTTTTGATTTTGATAATTAGTGTTGCCATGGTTACTAAAAATGAAATTCCTTTAAAACGATACTCCTCCTACAGTGTTGGTCTGAATTCAATATATTTTGACACACAAGTAGACTACACCTAGATATGTAATTTAGTACATCAGTTTCATTTCAATGGACGGTGTTGCCATGGTTACCAGAACTAAAAATAGAAATTTTGTGAAATTCCTTCAAAACTGTACTCCTTCTATAATTTGGGTATGATTTCAATATAATTTTGCACACAAGTAGACTACACTATCAGAGACTTTGGGTTTATTTTTCTATGATTTAAGTATATTTTGCTTCTTCCTTAATTATTATTACAGGCACTTGATTTGGATATAATGGACAAAGTATGCCAACGGCCGAATCTGGCCCCTTTTTGTAAAATTCAGAACACAGTTAAAATTGTAATAGTTTGTAGCAAAGACCGCTACTTTTGATTCAAAACCTACACTGAGGCCACAAGCTAAGAGAGCGCAGAAGTGAGTCGTACTTTTCTCGAATTTTCTCAATTTTATTGGAATTCTGTCAAATTTGAGATACTTTTCACTTCGGTAAAGAAAGAGCACAAGCTTACCTATCTGAGATTCTTATATACACTATGTATCTGATACTAGTGCATGAAATTCATGAATATATATTTGGTAGATAGACAGACTTTAGGCTTTTCGAAGCAAAATGTACCATAAAATCGATGAAAATCTGCATAAAACATGGAAACTTGGAAATTAGCGAGACCTATGTTGATCACATAACGTAGAACCAATACTTATTTTGTGCCGAGGATGATAAGCGGCTTTCAATTGATACTCCAAAACAGGGGCCAAAAAGGGATTTTAGCATATCTTTTCCTTTTTAATCCATTTCAGGATTAGATAATTACTCTCAGATCCATAACCATATTTGTTAATGTTATTTAAATTTAAACACAAATTGATGCTGTTTACGAAGAAAAATAGAGACATGCATGCTATATACAGTTATGTAGATAAATCTATGTAGAAGACAATGGTAATAAACAGTTTGCAAGTGCATTTTCTTTTGAAAGTGTAAATGACTGCGTTTCTGAGGAGGGGATACTGAGTGTAATTCAGAGTTTATACCTTGTTTTATTATTATACTAAAAGTTAAAATATTATTTCTGAAATAAGTACCTGTGATTTTTATGTTTTAATATTTACATTACACGTGTCTTCTGCATATAAAGTGAAAACACTATAAGAGGGACAGGTTGCCAAAAGGTTAAATCATGCGTTTTTGTTTGACGTCACAATCGTTGAACGCCGAAGAAGTGCAACGTCACAAACAAAAATAAAACAAGAGGCCCATGGGCCACATCGCTCACCTGAGAAGCTTTGACCATTCTGTTCTTTACCAGATTTCCCTGTTGTAATACATAATGCATGCCCACCCTACCCCACTGATCATAATTTAAACATTTTGAAATCTACACTACTCAGGATCTTCCCATGTGCACATATGCCCAGTGATTCTTGAGAAGAAGATTTTCAAAGATTTTTCCTATATTTTTCTATGTAAAACTTTGATTACCAATTTTGGCCCCGCCCTTCCCCCGGGGGCCATAATTTGAACAATTTAGTATCTACACTACCCCAGGATACTTCCAGATAAGTTTCGGCTTTTCTGGCCCAGTGGTTCTTGAGAAGAAGATTTTCAAAGATTTTTCCTATATATTTCTATGTAAAACTTTGATTCCCCATTGTGGCTCCGCCCTTCCACCGGGGGTTATGATTTTTTACAATTTAGAATCTACACTACCCCAGAATGCTTCCATATAAGTTTCAGCTTTTCTGGCCCAGTGGTTCTTGAGAAAAAGATTTTCAAAGATTTTTCCTATATATTTCTATGTAAAACTTTGATTCCCCATTGTGGCTCCGCCCTTCCCCCGGGGGTCATGATTTGAACAATTTAGAATCTACACTACCCTAGAATGCTTTCACATAGGTTTCAGCTTTTCTGGCCCAGTGGTTCTTGAGAAGAAGATTTTTTAATCACCCCACCCTATTTTTGTCTTTTCTTGATTATCTCCCCTCGTGATGGAACTCAGCCCTTTATTTTAACAATTTAAATTCCCCTTCACCCAAGGATGCTTTGTACCAAGTCAAAATTGGCCCGGTGGTTCTTGAGAAAAAGTCGAAAATGAAAAGTTTACTGACGGACAGACAGAGAGACAGACAGATAGACGGACAAAATGTGACCAGAAAAGCTCACTTGAACCTTCGGCTCAGGTGAGCTAAAAAAGTCAAGCTCTCATTGACCAGAAGCTGTTATGTTGTGTGTTTCGTTTACTGTAGCTCACATGTAGGATAATACATAGTTTTTAAAATATAATTTACCTTTGCAGTCAAGTAAGAGAGTTAAAAAGTGTAAAATATAAGCAACGAATCTTTATTTTTTTTAACGATATAGTCTCGTAACTGCAACGGTGTGTGCAATGAAATTTCAATAACGCACTAACGAGTGTTACTCAATGTGTTTGCAAACACCGTTGCAGTTATGAGACTATATCTTTAAAAAATAATGATTCATTGCTTAGAATATTCAATCAGTAATAATATGTAAATCAAGCATAATTGTATGATGCGCTACCGATTGTTGCATGCTATCAATCTATGTTTTCTCCAAGGTAAAATACTCTTCCGTTTCGAGGTTTCTCGCAGATTCACTGCAGAATCTTTATACATCTTTATAATTGTCATCATAAGGAAATTCATACTCCTGATAATTTTCACGTGTTTTCTGTTCATTTTCAAAGAGATGATTGTAGGACCTCTCTTCTTCACTTGGCCTCTGATGTTCTTCCTGTTCTTTGGTATGCTAGTAAAAAATTCAAAACTTGTCAATTAAAAATTTAACTTTATCTTCATAAGGATACATAATTATCATCTAATTTTAATAAGCTCTATTCTACATCCAAAAATTTAGATGCTAAATAGCACTCGACTCAGATCACCTGTTGAGGTTCTCCATATTCATAATCGTTTATTGAATTGTAAAAGTCTCTCTCTTCACACGGTTTTGCTTCCTCTGCTCTTGGCACAGAATCAACTTTATATAAAGCATTTGTAACACTGACATCGTTGATCTTTCCTTGTCTGTAAAAATAGTATAAATGTACTATTTTAAAGTATTTTTGACAATCGTAGGGTATGAAACTCATTTTAAGTAAATAATGGAAAACCGAAACAGTGAAACAAGGTTAATCAAAATGGATAAGTAAAGTTCATGAATCTTCGGAACGTTGTCATATTATAGGGGTTTAAAAGAAATGATTTTTTATGAAATATGTTCATCAAATGCGTAATGCGGTAATTTGAAGACGGCGTGGTTTTTATCAAGATAACTGGTTGAGAAATGCCATATAATAATATTTTTGATTTATTTGAGACAATGTGAATTAATCATGTCTACTGATTTTCATTTTTCTTTCCCTGGGGAGACGCAGCCGTGTCCTTATGTACGTAAGAATTTCCTGTGATATTCCTGACACCTCCGCATAATTTAAAGTAATACTTTAAAATCCCCAATATAAGCGTGGAATTTATAATCGCATAATTGCGAATTTAAACTAATCGCTTTTATTTTTATGATGCTGAAATCGATGTAAAATTTTACATCAACCGTACAATCGCGAATTATTATTCTCGCGATTTGACGTTAAAGAGGCCTTTCGCGATATTAAGCACTTGCGAAAAATAAGAAACGTTTCATATATTATAAAAATATTTAATGAACGTGTCATTATAAATAGAAATATGACAGCCGAGTAATTGCTATTGAATTCCTATAACGCCATGTTCAATGAATACTGTAAATCACTTTTTATTCGCGAGACATTTATTTTCGCGTAATTACGCGAGACAATGTGCTCGCGAAAGTTAAATTCTCGCGTATAATAGCATTCCGTAAGATTATATAGAGCAATAACCACAATTCGTGAAAATTTTGTCTCTCTAATCAAGAGTCAATGACTATTTCGCGAAAATAAGGTGTCGCGAATATTTAGTGATCTACAATACTGTTGTTTTATCTAATTATTTTGTTTTAAGCTATTAAAAATTTACAAATTTGAAGCAAAATATCGAGCACGGTTTTCTACAACCACACTTAAACAGAGGTAATTAAAAAACAGTACTTGTACCTGTCAATATATTTCCAAAGTCCCTTCTTCCACATTACCAGTACTACGATGATTGTTAGTGCTATGCCGATGACAATACCACCAAAAATAGATAGTGTTGTATGTTGGCCCCCTGACTTCTCTGATGCTAAATAAAAGATAAAACACGTAATAAGTATCGAAAGTTTTGGTCAAGTGACCGATTGCTATCCGTTTTCGTCCGTCGTCTTGCGTCGTCCGTCATGTGTTAACATTTGAACATTTTCAGCTTCTTTTCTGCAACTGCTCATCTAATTTCAACATTTTTTGGCACAAAGCATCTATGAGTAAAGGGGGAACAAAATTTGTGAATTTCATCGTCCATGCCCCCCTGGGGCCTGAGGGTTGGGACCAAAACCACTAAATTAACGCAAGTTTTAAAAATCTCCTTCTTTTTAATCCAGGACATCAAGCAGTCAAACAGTTGGCATGATTATAATCAGCATTGAGTCCTCTACCAAAATTGTGAAATTCATGACCCCAGGGTCAGGGGTTCTAGTGCTAGGCATTAAAATAAACTAATCAAGTACATAGTTATGTTGAATAAGGCTACCTCTACCAAAATTGTGAATTTCATAGCCCCAGGGTCAGAGGTTCTGGTGTTAGGTCGGGAATAAATATATTATAGTGAAAATGCATAATTTTTTTGAAAATATTCTTTCTCATGGGCATTATATAAACTAAGTACAAAGTTATATTGAATAAGGATGCCTCTTCCAACATTGTGAATTTCATAGTCATTGGGTCAGGGGATCTGGTGATAGGGCGGGGCTCTATTGATTATACAGTGAAAATGCATAAATTCTTTGAAAAATTTCTTCTCTGCTCCTTGGTATTAAATAAAATAATCAAGTATTATACTATATAGTTATGATGAACAAGAGTGTATCTTTAAACAAACCTACTAAGTACACAGTTATAATGAGTGAGAATGCCTCTTCCAAAATTGTGAATTTAATGGCCCCTGGGTCAGGAGTTCTGGTGTTAGGAGGGTCTATTGATTATATCGTGAAAATTCTTTAAAAATCTTCTTCTTTACTCCTGGGTATTAAATAAACAAACCAAATACATAGTTATGCTGCCTCTTCCAAAATTGTGAATTTCATGGCTGCAGGGTCGGGTTTTCTGGTGTAAGGGTTGTAATCTATTTATTGTAAAGTGAAAATGTATAATTTTTTTAAATCTTCTTCTCTGTTCCTAGGTATTAAACCAATGAACTATGTACATAGTTATGACGAGGAAGGATGCTTCTTCTCTATTTGTGAATTTCAGTGCACCTGGTTCAGGAGTTCTGGTGTAAGGGCGGGGCTGTATAATGATTATATAGTGGAAATGCATGATTTAAAAAAAAAAAAATTCTTTTTCTTTATTCCTAGGTATAATGCAAATTGATCTAAGTACATATTTATGATGGAGGAAGTTGCCTCTTTCAAAATGGTTCATATCAGGGCCCCTGGGTCAGGGGTACCGGGAGTTAGGGGTGGGGAGAGGAAGTCCGAAATAAATAAATGCTTTGAAATCTACTCTTTGGTATATAATCAACCATTTATGATGAAATAAATTTATGATAAAATTTTGAAATATGTGGCCCAGGGTGAGTGGTTCCTATGGGATGAGTGAATATTTGCCTCACTAATATTGAAGCCATATATTAAATTACGTCTTTAGATATTTCAACTTATTATGAAAGGATAAAAAGTTCGACAAAGGTAGTTTTTTTTTCAAATATAGACGAAGCAGCTGTGTTGCCTGTTTGCTGTCTGTGTTGTTATTCTGCCTATTTAATTGAGCATATAATAATTCTTTACCTGTTACACAAATCTGGTTTTGCTCCTTAAATCCTGTTTTGGATTCGCAGAAACCATACGGTGAGGTGATTGGTTTCGCTTTATAATAACATTGAAGCTTGAGTTCTGAAGAGCAGTGGTTATCTCTTAAACATAGTGAACCGATGCTCGAGTTTTCTTCATGAAAATATTAGACAAAATATAAATAAGTCATAGAATAATAAATGCTACTATTTCATTAAGGATATCCGATCCTCAGCCAGGAAGGATAACTTTAAAAATTGATATTTAATTTGAAATGCATCAAAATGAAGCTTGAAAATGAAATTTTTTATGCAACAATTTTCATTTCATTCATCTTTATAAGATTCAAGGTTTTTGAAAGTCTTTGAAAAGGTCTTATAAAAGTTGAGATTTGTACCATATGAAAGGGAAAAAATTAATACAATTTTAGAGAAATAAGATTTTTATTAAGGATATCCGATCCTCAGCCAGGAAGGATAACTCCAAAAATTTATAATTAATTTGAAATGCATCAAAATGAGGCTTGAAAGTGAAATTTTTTTATGCAAGAATTTTCATTGTATTCATCTTTATAAGATTCAAGGTCTTTGGAAGTCTTAGAAAAGATCTTATAAAAGTTGACATTTGTACCCTACCAAAGGAGAACAAATTAATACAGTTTTAGATAAATAAGATTTTCTTGAATCCAGCCTTAGATACCAATGCTTATTAGCATGATATGAATGAGAAGTAATGTGTGGTGTCTTGCAATGATAGTAAAAGCCTTTTACACTATGTATTATAGAATATATAAAGGGAAAAGAAGACAAAAAATACCAAATAAGTATAAAATTCAAGACAATTTCTCTGAATGCCTGGATACCTATTATTTTTTAACCTAAAATATATTTGTTGATCAATTTGCAATTAGAAAATGCATCGCTGATGTTCTAATTCGCTTTCTCTGCAAAAATATTGGAGATTTGACAATTTTCCCTATATAATATGATTAACTTTAATCTTTAACTTTAAAGAAATACTGTGGATAAATTTACATAACTTTGTGAATTCAGAGATAGTTTTATGAGTATTTTTGATTACTTAACTGCTAATTTGATAAACCTGAGGATCGGACAACCTTAATCCAGCCTTATATACCAATGCTTATTTTAGAATGATATGAACTAAGAAGTGATTTGTGGTGTTTTGCAATGATAGCAAACGCTTTTACACTACGTATTATAGAATACATGACGGAAATAGACAAAAATACCAAATAAGTATAAAAATTATGACAGTTTCTCTAAATGCCTGGATACCTTTCGTTTTTTAACCTAAAATATATTTGTTGATCAATTTGTAATTAGAAAAATGCATTGCTGATATTCCAGTTCGATTTTTCTTCAAAAATGTTGGAGATTTGACAATTTCCCTATATAATATGATTAACTTTAATCTTTAACTTTAAAGAAATTCTGTGGATAAATTTACATAACTTTGTGGATTCAGAGATACTTTTATGAGTATTTTTGATTACTTAACTGCTGATTTTATAAACCTGAGGATCGGACTACCTTAAAGGTACATATAATACCGTAAAGCGGGTTTTCTTGGTGGGAGTAAAATTTGGCGTTTTGCCTCTTCAAAGGTTGGCAAATAATTTTGGCGTAATTTATTTTCGCGGACACAGAGTTTCAGCTCTTTGCAGATAAACACTAAGAAGAGTATTGACTAGCGGTTAAAAATTTAGCGGGCTACCATCAAAACGCCAAAATAAGCTAAAATTAGCACCCCGCTAAAATTACCCGCAATTCGGTATTCAAATTGTCTTCTTTTTTGTTATTTCCACAATATTTATATTGATAAGTAAAATTTAATTTTTTTTTTACCTTTTACGTATGATTTGCGACAGACCAACTTCAAATCGTACATGCATTTATGGCCATCACCCTCACATGTTTTCTTTTTGTATGATATCGGTATTCTATCAACTATGAATTGAATATCAACATTTTGCAGGTACAGCAGGACACCTGAATAACAATAGTGGCCGATATACTTTAATTCAAAGGTACACGGATCAGAACATTCTTCCTTTCTGTGCCTCAATAGTTGATCTGTAAAAAATAGACTGGTCCTTTTGAAGTGGAACATCAATTTAAAGATTATATTTTAAAGTTTTAATTATATCAACATAAACAATAATAGTTTAATAATTATTGTATAGAGGACACAGTAACACGTTTATAACTGAAAATAATATTTACAGAAAACACCATTCGTTATCAAGCTTAAGGATAAGAATTTGACTAGTAAAGTGTTGATTATGATCTTGGAAATATACTTAAACATTTGAAAGAACGGGGGCGCATTAGATTGGCATTCGGCGGAATCTGGGCGTCATTGAAAAGTGAAAATTTTATCGGCATGTCACATGGAGTTTTAAACTTTCATTTTATTTATCGAGTTCCTGTGCAACAGGAAAGGAAAATATTTTCCCGAAATTGATCTTTTTTTTGCCCCCCCCCCCCCAAAAAAAAAAAAAAAACTTGAAAATTGGCCAGATCAGGCATTTGGTACAAAATAGTACATTTTAAAACAAGTTTTTCTAAAATTTCTTGGTCTTCATTCCATGATTTTGAAAAACTATTTGTGTGTATTTTAATTCAAAGAAACAAATACACAATTTAAAATAAAATGAAGAGAAGACCCAGAGACCACGAACAATGAACTTCCCCCCAAAACATTCAAATGTGTGAATGTGGTGCTTCTTTGTCCTTTCAAAATCAACCGTATATTTGTAGCGGTGATAGCTCAATAAGTTGGGCTACCTGTTCAGTTCAGTGCGCTCGAAGCGTGAAGTTTTTGGTTCGAGTCTGGCATGGGGCGTTAATATTTTTTCATGCAAACAACCATTTATTTTGTCAGTTTCGTTTTATGTACTGATGTATGTATTTAAATTTTGAATTAGATAAATTTTGGTTCAGTTTGGTTCTCGAGCGAAATCAATTCCGACCTTCTAATCTAAAATGTACATGTACACGTATCATGCATCTATGCATTAAATTTTTTTAGGTTTATTTTTTGTGAAACATTACTATGTTATAGTACCCCCTAAATGTTACAATCTCACAAGGTCTTTCAAACTAAATGAAAAAAACCTATGGATGTGTTTGTAAAATCAGCCAACCAAATCATGGACATTTAAACCATAAATGTTTCGTACAAATGATTCCTGCAGATCACACGCCAAATGCGCCCATCTTCTTAATAGCTTTTATAAAATGCACACCACCAATTTAAACTCTCAAATAATTTAATCGCTGCAGCCTTGATGTTTCCACTGATAAACACTGCAAGTTGATTAAACATGAATATCAACAGTCTCGTTCGATTATTTGGTATGTTCTATGGTCACTACAAAGACTTTGTCAGTAAATACAATCTTATTTTTCCTTATTACTAATGATAAAAAGATCAAACCCCTTAAACATTTTTGCTAAATGTTTTCTTAAACGGGCAATTTTTGGTTTTCTAGATTTATGGAGTAAATCTAGATCCGTACGTCGCGGCTTCGAATCCACTACCTGACGCGGACACCAGTCCCTTGGATGAGACTGTATAAACCGACGAGTATCAGTGTTGCAGTAGGTACTGACGCGTAAAAGATACCTCACTGTTAAATGACCCTAAGTGCTGAGCATAGATTAAAATTTGCAGCACTCCCAAGGTAAGTGACGGTTTCTCCATATGAATAAATATTCTGGAGGAGGACGTTAAACAACATACATGTACAAACAAAAATTCACAATGACAGAAAAAAAATTTAAAGGAATCAACGATAACAATAGCTTTATGATTGAACTCACGTAGTTTTTCCTTGCTTTTTGGTTGACAATCGCTGCGTCTGAGAGCAAAATCCATTGCATCCATCAAACATATTTGTCTGTAAAATAATGTACGGTACATAATAAACTTTTGGAATGGTGATACACATGTTAATGACTGAAAAGGTAATAGGGCATTTTTTTCCACTGAAATAAAAAGCACAAAATTATAAATAGGTTGGTAGTTAAAATGAACTAAATTAAATATTAATGGAAGTGTACATAAGCAATTACTATCAATCAATTAACTTTTTTAAAATTTAGTTTAAACATTTTTTTTCAACAGTACTGTTAACAAATATGTGTATTCCTACAATATGTATCATTTATCTCCAACGCAAATCAAATATGACAGTTGTATGATAAATTCCTCTAAAAGAAAACATACAGGAAAAAATTTAGATATATGAATTAACAGTACCAGAAAATAGAGAACACAATCATGCAATGTTTAAATATCATTTCTTTCCAAAACCTGAAAATATTATTCATTCTAATTATCGGAATACAATGATATTTTTTGTTTATATACATGTATTTATATCTTATATATTTATTTTCTATTTGAATTGAGTGGTTAATATCATACTTATCAAAATCAGCTGTACTCCCCTTGAACGTGAAAAGAGCTGTAAAAAGATTTACAGAATACTTAAATATACATTTCCATTGCTTTTAAATAATCAAAATAAAATACCCTCTGATCCACTCCATGGTGAAACTTTGTACACACATAAAGTAAAGTAATTTTTCTCTGTCTTACCAGTTATTTGAGATCAATCGTTTAAAAATTCGAAATTGTTCTGATTCTCCCCATATTATCAAAATTACCTATTTCCACCCAATGTTATAAAACTATTGAATGTACTATGTTTAAAATGAAATAAACAATGTACGTACACAATAAAAGGTAGTATTCCAATTTCATTGTCTGCCCGATGCACCAAAAGGAGTGTACGTCAATACGGAAGTTTTATGCAATTTTTTTTTTAATTATGCACATTCTTCCTTTCTAGGGGGAAATCAACATTAATAAAACTCTTTAGTAGTTTTTGATGCTAACTGCATGTCACTAGATGGTACTATTGAACCGAAAAAGTCATCTGTTATATAGAGGAAATAAGCTCTACAAGGATCTTTCCAGTAAAAAAAACACACCTTATTCAAAATCATTCTGGAAAAAAAATTCAAGTAATAAATCACTAGCCATGTCATTGGTCATTTGCAAAATTAATTTTCTAAAATATTCTGATTGTACGCACACATACTCTGAATTTGATATTATAAAGATGTTTGAGTTTCTGATTGATAATATCTATGTGATTTTTGCAGACGATATCTATTGGAATTCCCATGGGTACTGTTATTAGCAGACCTCTTTTTTGGATTGATATGAAGCAACATTTTAATGTTTTGCTTCCAAGCATGAAAAAACTTTTATCATTACAATGTATATGATTTTTTCATTATTTTAATTTTAGAAAATAAATACACAAAGTACATTTTTACCGATTAGATTTCACAACTACAGGGTTTCTCTGTGGTTCAGATCTATATTTGTATGATCGGGGGTGCAACATTTTTAAAATGAATTATAATGATAATATGTATAATTTATCACTAAGTTTATAATTGACAGTTTAATATTCAAACCTTCCTTTTCAATTTCATAAATTTACATGTGCTTTTATCATTTCTGTGATTTTTCTAAGAATTGTCTTAAAATTCAAGTAATTTCTCCTCAATTTCACTGAAACAGCATCAAATGTTCTTAATATAAAAGTTTCACTTTACACTTCTACTTTAAAGGCCCTTCGTGCTTTAGGTCAGGGGTGCAACAAATATGTAAAATTATAACATGTATAATTCATCTAAAAAGAATTAAAGTAAAGAAAAATGAAGAATATTTTATTTTGGTAGTTATAACTTTGTCTTCTAAAGAAAAAAACGCTCTATACTCTAAAATATGTTTTATCTTCGAAATATTTAATTAATATTTTGATTCGCTAAAAATATTTTCAAGGGCGATAATGGAAAGATAACTCTTGTTGATGGATGCGTATTATTTTACGAACACAGAAAACAATTTGATATTCAGATTTAAAAAGCAACGATTCAGTATGTTTTCTAATGAGAATTAGATAGGTACGAGATTAAATATATATCTCAAATGTCTAATTTCATTGTGAGATAAAAATAATTAATCTTTCTACTTACCATATCAAATTTTCTTCACATCATGATTTAAGGGGATGAAGGACCTTTAGCTGAAAAAGTACCTGTCATTCAATTTTTTTCATATTTTGTATAACTCTTATTTAGTATGTCCCACATACCTTGAAGCAGATATATCAATAGGTTTCTAGGTTTATTTATGAGATATTGAGTGACAAATACTATGCCTCACAGTGTCTGAGTGAAGTTAGATTCTCCGTATTTCTGGGCCCATTACTCAGTCCATAATGGAATTTTTTCAGCATAGAGAAAAAATATGTCAGCAAACATGTGTCTTTTAAAATATTTCAGAGTATAAATAGGGTTAACCGACAAAAAAATTAATTTACAAAAAATCCTATCATTCAATATTTGAAAAATTACGTCGAAATGCAAGTTCATCATGTTATTGAGTAACTGCAAAAATATCGATTGGTGAAGCTGAGCTCAATATTGCACAGGGCATAGTTAAACAAGACATGAGCATGAGAAAAACGTGTCATGTTTACATTTCTCGAGTATGGGAAAACCCTACTATGACGTCACACATTTGCGAAATAAGGTAAGTAAGACATAACTACAATATATTTCCGTCAACAACCATGTAAAAATATTTTTTGTGTTCTGTAATTCATAGAATATCCCACCATGTACTGATCATGACCCGTTTTTTATGATATTATACTACCCGTGTTCTACCTTGTATATAATCTTACTGTACTAAGATCCACTATGACGTCAGCGACTCGTTGGACGCGCAATGTAGGGAAACAGAAGAGTGGATCAATCTATTCCGTAATTTGAAAATATTTGCAAGAAAGTTTGAATGTTTTTAGATATTTTTATACAAGATGGTGAACTCAAACAAACAGTCATTTTTTTTCCCAAATACTGTGGTTTCAATCTGGTTTTGTACATATTTTATGAGATTATGACGTAATTAAACTGAGTCACGTGACCATACATCCTTCGTCCCCTTAACATATTATTTATTTCTGAAAAAGTAAGCAACCCTTCATACTTGAGACTATTTTCCATTTGAATCTAATGCTACTATTGTTGATTAAAACAAAATGAGCGAAATTTGGAGCATAGGGATATTTCGCCTTAAAATGAAAAAATAACCGTGTTTGATCTAATAATTCATTTGGATAAAAATGTTTTTACGTTTAACTTTGAAAATTGATTGATGTGTTAGACGTACAATTAAAGTGCAAAAAATTCATTTTAATTGCTCCGTTATGCATAAAGAAGCGCAACGACCCCCATTTCTTTGTTTTGATTTTTAATTAAGCTATGTGTGAAGATTCAAAAACATGCTTTACAAAAAATTCTCGATACCAGGAACCAACCTTCTTAAAAAACTGTTAAATAATATATATATATATATATAATTTAAGAAAAATCCAGTGTTTTGGTACAGTAAAATATATCCAATGATAAAAAGTCAGAAATCACAAATCTCGAAAATCATTTTTACTGTTAGCGCTTTCTGCCTAATGGCTCTTCAGACAGTTAAAAGTTAAATATAAAATTGCTTAGTAACGTTCATAAGCACGACGTCAAGTATTGTCCATTGTGACGTCATAATAACGTTAAAAGGTAGCATTATAATTCGCACCGTTACAATCACTTAAATAAACCAAAAAACAAGTAGAAAATAACTTTAGTTAAAACTGAAGTAATTATTTTCTGTTAAGTTTTGGGTTAAATAGTTTAATGAAGTAGTCCTCCTTTGCTACTCTGGATATTTCACAGTCATTGTGCATTTTATAAAATGGAAATAATTTAAATTTCCCTTTCCCACAGGTAGCAAAGTGCTCACTGCACGGCGTATTCCTTACGCTAGGGTCCCGAATTTGTTGTTTATGGACTCGCACTCGTGCGTTCAGTTTTCCGGTTTGTCCTATGTAGTTTTCATGACAGGTCGGACAGGTTATGCAGTAAATAACATTTTCTGATTTACAGGTCAGGTTGGCGTTTGGTGTTAATTTTTTACCACATTTTAAAGTTTTTTCGCTTCCCTCCTCCAGATATTCACATGTTCCACAACGTGGATCACGGCACTTTTTGACGTCTTTGGCATTGATTGTTGCAAATCTTGCTCTGGTTAGGATTTTCTTCAGATTGGGTGCCTGTCTTCTGCTATTAATAATTTGAGACTCCTTGATAATGTCTTTTAGATTCTGAGATTGTTCTAAAATGGGAAAAAATCTCCTGGCTGATCTTAAAATATTGTGGTTGCGTGGATTGTGCGTCACAACAAAAGGGATGTCGCTTTTTTCACTATCATCCTTGCGGCGAGTGTTTCTTAGTACAGAAGTAGGAATGTTTTTTGCTTTTTCAATTCCGGCATTGATAAGATTATCTGGATAATGTTGTTTTTGGAGATATGATTTAAATTCTTCTAACCTTTTCGAGCGTAAAGTTGTATCGGTTACTATTGTGCATATGCGTCTTGCCATGTTGTATGGAATATTACGCTTAGTATGTGATGGGTGACATGAATAGAAATCCAAATATTGGTGCGAATCTGTTTCTTTGCAGTACAGGTCTGTAATAATTTTGGTATCATCCTTAATTAGAAGGAGGTCCAAAAATGGAAGTTGTCTGTCACTCATCTCCATAGTGAACTGAATTGATTCATGTAATTGATTTATTACCGTATGGAATTTTTCTAAATCGTCTTCAGTTTTATTCCAAAAAATAAAAATATCATCAAGGTACCTTTTCCAGTTTTGGCGAATGTATTGTACAAAAGTTTCGTCAAATATTTCCGGAAGTTTATTATATAGCTTTTCTTCCAAGTAACCCATAACTAGAGTGGCATAAGTTGGGGCCACTTTGGTACCCATAGCTGTGCCCTTGATTTGAAGGTAAAATTGCTCATCAAAATGAAAATGGTTATTTTCTAAAACTACTTGAAGGGCTTCAAGTATAAATTCTTTAGAGAATCTTTCATTCGTTTCTGTTGGATATTTCTCCATCCAAAATTTGACAGCTTCAAGTCCCAAGTAATGTGGGATGTTGGTGTAAAGACTGGTTACATCAAAACTTACAAGAAGCGTGTTTTGTTGTACTTCCTCTGGAATGTAATTAAGGAAATCCAAATCATCACGGATGAAACTGGGTACTTTTTTGCACAATGGTTTGAGAATCAAATCAAGTAGATTGCTCAGTCTTTGTGTACATGAGGATGGTCCTGCTATTATGGGACGGAGTTTTAAATCCGAGGGTTTCGGAATTTTTATATATGTATTTTCACATCTTTTGATATTTTCCTGGATTTCCTTGGATTTTTGAATTTTTGGTAGACCGTAGAAATTGCTGGTTTTAACTTCAAAATGTGTGAGATAATCTATTTCATTCTTAGTAAACTCAACAGCAAATTTTTTCGTAAGCCGTTTAA